TCACTTAGCTCATTACCAACCAATGTGGGACTCATCACACTTGAATATCTCAACAAGAATGGGGTCTAAAGGGTGTGAGTTGAAGAAGAAGGGTTTAGAGTGCAAGAAATTCGCCTCAAACCGGATTAGTTGCGAAACAATAAACCAATTGAAATATTTTTTAAAAAAAAAAAAGTGCAAGAAATTGCAATAGAGGTGGAGAAAGGTGTTCTTGGAAAATTGATATTGAAAATAGACATAATAATATATTGCAATATGTTATAATGTGAACCTTTTTCTATTTTACTCTGGCATGATAAAGCACTTTGCTAGGATTACAAGCAAGCATATTTTTTTAAGGGAGATAATAAATAAAATTTGCATTCATTGAATAGTCTGAGCTTTTAGGCTATATATATATATATATATATATATATATATATATATATATATATATATATATATATATATATATAATATAAGAGTTTTTGTGACAAACTTGATCATCATCATCTCTATTTTTTAATAAAAATAAAAAGTAAGTAAAAATAAGCACAAAATAAACAAAAAAATAGAGCTGTGCATTATCAATGTTTTAAACTCAAAAGACTCTTGTATTAAGAGAAGTGTTAGAGATATAATATATAAAATCATTAATAAAATCTTTATTAAAAAACGTAGTTTTCATGTTAAAATTATTCTTTATATATTTTAAAAAACTAAATCATAAATTTGGTCAAAAGTAGTGATTTAAGTTATAAAGAATAAAGAACAATCTATATATGGCATATGCTCACTCATTTTGTATGCAGTCCAATTCACCTTGATCCGAACATAAACGAATTCATTTTGTATGCTGCATTGGATTAGCATGCTTTTTTTTTTTTTTGGTAAATTTTTTACGTGCAGATTAGCATGCTTTATTATTGAACAACTAAAGAAAAAACCGATAAAACAAAAGCCCATCCAAAATCATGAATAAATTAAGAACTAAACATTTAATTAATGCTATCTCCACCCCTCATGGGCTGACGACGTTTGGAAAGCCCGAGTTCCTCAGGAGCATTATCATATTTTATTTGGGCTACCTCTTGAATATTGGGTCATAGGGAACCTCATTGAGCTAGAGATGGCAAAAGGGGTCGGCCTGCCCTGACCCACCTTCAACCCGCTAAAAACGGGTTGGCCCCCGCCCCGCATTTTGGTATGAGTTGAAAATTCTAACTCACTCCGTTTTGTGGTGGATTGGCGGGTTGACAGATCAACCCGCCTAAAAAACTAATAATAATTAAAAATAACTTATATTTTATTAATTTTATAATATTTCTTATTTTCATTTCACAATCTCTTTAGTTTTTTTTCAATCTCAAACCTAAATGTATAATAATATTCAGTCAAATATTTTTTAGAAACTTATCTTTGCCTAAATATATGAATAACCTTTGTAATAAATAAAAAATTTCTTCTTTATTTTTTCTAGGGTAGTACTAAAATAAAAAAAAATTTATATCATAAAAGCTTAGTGACAAATAAAATACTACCAATTAGTAAAAAAAAAAATTGACCCGCGGGCCAACTCGTCCCGACCCACCGCCAACCCGTTTTGACCCACAACTAAATAGGGCGGGTTGAGGTGGATTGGTGGGTTGAAAAGTATAACCCATTCCGCTCCGTTTTGGTGGGTTGACGGGTTGACCCGTCAGATTCAACCCAAATTGCCACCTCTACATTCAGACTCTCTCTTCTTTCGATGAAGATTGATCCTAATTCTTTGTTATTACATCTTGGATTTTTTGGTTGGAGAGGAATAGTTGTACTTTTCAAAATAATCATGGGTCAAGTGACTCTTTTGTTGTGGGTGTTACCATACTTTCCCAACTCCAAAAAAGCTAAAGAGTGGCACGTATGAAAGCAAGAGCCCTATAACTAATTTCTGTTATTTGGTTTTCGATTGGTTAGATATTTTGTTATACTCATCACGTGTATTCTTTTTGTTTTCTTGCTTTCCTTCTGATGGTATATATTCATGTAATGCCTCAATGTACGCTCATAATTCATCAATGAAAGTTTTCAAGATTCATAAGATGGTATCATAGCTCATTTGAGAGTTCGGGTCCATCCACCTTCCGCCAAACCTTTCTCTTCCAAAACCTTCCATTCTTGAAACCATGGCTGAATAAAATCAGCCTACAGATCCTTACTTTCTACATCCAAGTGAATCTCCATAGCTAATTCTGGTGTCACTATAGTTGAATGGCAAAAACTACCATGCGTGGTCAAGAGCCATGACCGTTGCCTTGACCTCTAAGAACAAGCTATCTTTTGTGAATGGCACCATTACTCAACCTTCAGAGGATGATCCCAGGTATGCTGCTTAGGAAAGATGTAACACAATGGTCTTATCGTGGATGCATCGTTCCATAGCTGATTTCATTGTGCAATCCATTCTTTGGATCAACAAAGCCTATGAAGTCTGAAGAATCTGAAAAATAGATTCTCCAAATCGGATATGTTTTGAATCTCAAATCTTTTGAAAGATGTGTATCAGTTGAACCAGGGAGATAAATCTGTTATATATTATTTCACGAGTTTAAAAATGTTATGTGACGAGTTGCATAATCTTAGACTGCTACCAGCTTGCACGTGTGAAACTTTAGTTTAAATGCGTGAATACAGGGAGACAATTCAGGTGATAAGGTTTTTGAGAGGACTCAACGAACAATTTGGCCATATTTGCTCTCAAATCATGTTAATGAATCCTCTTCCAAACATTAACAAAGCCTTTTCCCTAGTTACTCAATAGGAAAGGAAATTTCAAACTGAAGTTCATGGTTGTGATGTGAATGAAACCAAGATCTTCGTGAGCTTATCTGAAAGCTTTCGTGGCCGCAACACGCAATGTGTCGGACGAGTGTCAGAGCATGTCGGAATGTGTTGGTATCCGACATGTGTCCGACACGCAATTTTTATAAAATTCAGCGTGTTCGTGCTTCAGAGGATGTTACCATACTTTCCCAACTCCAAAACAGCTAAAGAGTGCCACGTAAGAAAGCATAGAGCTGTAAAACTAATTTCTGTTATTTGGTTCCGATTGGTTAGATATTTTGTAATACTCATCACGTGTATTCTTTCTGCTTTCTTGCTTTCCTTCTGATGGTATATATTCATGTAATGCCTCAATGTACTCTCATAATTCATCAATGAAAATTTTCAAGATTCATAAGATGGTATCATAGCTCATCTGAGAGATCTGGTCCATTCACCTTCCACCAAACTTTCTCTTCCAAAACCTTCCATTTTTGAAACCATGGCTGAATAAAATCAGCTTGCAGATCCTTACTTTCTATATCCAAGTGAATCTCCAATCACTATTGTTGAATGGCAGGAACTACCATGCGTGGTCAAGAGCCATGACCGTTGCCTTGACCTCCAAGAACAAGCTATCGTTTGTGAATGGCACCATTACTCAACCTTCAGAGGATGATTCCAGGTATGTTGCTTGGAAAAGATGTAACACAATGGTCTTATCGTGGATGCAACGTTCCATAGCTGATTTCATTGTGCAATCCATTCTTTGGATCAAAGCCTATGAAGTCTAAAGAATCTGAAAGATAGATTCTCCCAATCGGATACGTTTCGAATCTCAAATCTTTTGGAAGATGTGTATCAGTTGAACCAGGGAGATAAATCTGTTATATATTATTTCACGAGTTTAAAAATGCTATGTGACGAGTTGCATAATCTTAGACTGCTACCAGCTTGCACGTGTGGAACTTTAGTTTAAATGCGTGAATACAAGGAGAGAGCTCAGGTGATAAGGTTTTTGAGAGGACTCAACGAACAATTCAGCCATGTTCGCTCTCAAATCAAGTTGATGAATCATCTTCCAAACATTAACAAAGCCTTTTCCTTAGTTACTCAACGGGAAAGACAATTTCAAACTGAAGTTCATGGTTGTGATTAGGGGTGTAAAGAGGCTAAACTAGGCTGGGCTTTGGCAATACAAAAGCATTAGTAAACGATAATATAGTTTTTTTTCAATGAGATATGAAGCTCCACACAAATAAAATTTTGTTGATGAGATGTGATTATGTTTTTTCTTAGGTGTAGTTGATGGGTTAACATGTCTTGGGTTTAGAAATTTCTGGGCTATGATTGGAGAAAAGCCCAAGTAGATAAAGGAAAATTAATATATTAGATCGGTTTGGACTGGATCGATTTTCATCAACCCATCCGAAAATCGATCGAATCCAATAAAATTTGCAGTTTTTTTCGGTTTTCAGTTTTTCGGTTTTCGATTTATTCGGTTCGGTCACCGCGGTTTGAATCGATTTGGATCGGTTGATGAACATCCCTATTAGAAAGCCTGATATGGCCTACAGGCCTTGTAGGCCTCCCACTGCAGATACTGAGCAAAGAAAATAATTATACAAAGCAAAGAAAGTTCCATTCATGCATGCACTAATACTTCTCATAAGAAATAAAAAATAACAAACACGAAAGAGTCAACTTAATACCCCATCTTTATAATGTATATCAGAGGGGAATTAGAGTCCAAGAAATGGGAAAAATAAGAAAGAAATACAATTACTAGGTCAATCAAAGACGAAACTTAGAGACGAGAGTGAGAAGTCACTTAGAAGTAGTGGTGCACAAAAGAAATTAGGGTTGGTATTTTGCCACCATGAATAAATATATTATTTTATTTTATTTTTTAAAAATAAATAGGCCAGCCTACAAGGCTTTAGGCCAGGCTTGACAAAGTTGGCCTATGGCCTATTTGTTAAAAAGACTTTCTCGTAAGTCTAAGTCTATTCTATTTGTCAGAAAGGCCAGGCTCAACTTAGGCCGGGTTATAGGTCAGTCCAAACCAGTCTGGCCCATTTACACCCCTAGTCTTAATGTATTTTAACCCTACTCAAATAAATCAGTAGACTATTTTTTTTTTTGGTACAACAGTGGACTACTTCATCCAAGCCCGACAAACTAACCCAACAAATAAAAAAACCTACTCAAATAAAAAAAATTGCTTCAACCCAACAAGAAGAAGAAAAACCTAAGATTCTCTCTCGTCATCGTTTCTGGTTTCTTACCTTCTGCTGGTTCAAACTCTAGACACAGTTTGAGCCGCGTACGCTATTCTCAGGTTCATACCTTTTTTTTTTCTTCTTCTTCTTTTTTCTCTCTCTTGATTTGATGGTTATGATATTTGTTCTCTGTGGCTAATCTCTCTCTATGTCGTGTCTTACTGTGTAATACTAATGTGTATGCAGCGAAGAGAAGAATAAAATGGCAGAAGAGGAATCAAAGCCTCTGAACTATATTCCAGAGGTTATATTAAAGAAGAGGAAAAGCGGCGAAGCATGGGCTTTAAGGAAAAAGGAGCAATTCCAGCAGAAAAATTTCCAGTCCAAGAAGTCCAAGGACTTCATCAAGAAGCCCGAGGATTTCGTTTTTGAATATCGCAATAGGGTAACTCTTTCACCTCTTTTTCATAACCTAATTTTGTAATATCCATTTTGTGAATTTTTTCCAGTTATAGAATTTTTGCCTTCCATTATTCCAGCTTATGTATGTATTATTCTGTGTATAGCAGTATGTTTGCTTAGTCTGCAATTACTTGTTCTGTTATTCAATTGTACTTCAGTTGCTGATGTGTCACAGTTTGTTGGAGTTAGTTTTAGTTTCTGTTATCCTCACCCTATATGTAGTAGGGCTTATTGTATTTAGATTCATTCAAGTTAGTAATTCGGAGAATTCGTTGAATTATTGTTACTTTTCTATGCCTTTACCAAACTGAATGCATTTGATTAGAGGCTTCTATTATTGTTGTTGTTGTTGTGGTTGACTAGTTGTTATTATGCTTATATGCTTCTTTGTGTAGGAGGTGGATCTTATAAGGATGAAACGGAGGGTCAAGAGGAAACTACCAGAACTATTGACCACAAACTCCAAGCCCTTAATAATCATTCGGATACAGGGGTAGCTGTCTTTGTTTCTTCTCTCATTGATTTGATTTTTGGCATTGTGCAAAGTTATAACATCTTTCTTCCCATTCTTTTAGGAAAAGAGACATGCATCCGAAAACCAGAAAGGTCCTGTACAGCTTGGGGTTGAGAAGAATATTCAGTGCTGTCTTTGTGAAGCCAACTGAGGGGGTAATGGCTAAGCTGCAGAGAGTGGAACCATATGTTACCTATGGGTAAGAGATTAATGCTCTCGTTTTTATATTTGATGTGATATTAGATGTTAATGGTAGGGTAGCTTTGTAGAACTTTGATATATTTTCAGGTTAAAAGTAAGGTGGATGGGTTATATTATATCAAAGATGATTCTCTTGAGATCTCATACAACTTCATATATTATAGCAGTATAGTTGTAGCTTCCATCCTCAAAATTTCAAATTTCCAATTGAAACATATACTCCTGAACGTCAACTTCAAAAATTTTGTGTGGGAAGTTTTGAGTTAGATATATGTTGAGTGGGGGTATGTTCGTGGGGAGAATAGGTTTTAGTATTTTGGAGTTAACTGACTTTATAGAATATGCCTGCAACTTATTTAGGAAAGGAAAATGCTGAACCTCCTGACTATGTGTACAAAATGGGTTTTAGCTCCAAGAAAGTGAAAGAAAATAATAGAGATAACTGAGAGGAGTCTCTGATGGAAATGAATCTGTATTTTGCATTGTGCAGATCTTTCTTTTGTTTACATACTTAAGAGTCAGTTAAGACAGTTGGTGATGTCTGTCTTAGCTAAATCATAGCAGGACACTTACAAGCCTGTTATTACTGATATGGTAATCTCACTGACTGTTTCTACTCTCACTGAGAATTACTACATGGTGTCCACATGTAGTTTAATGTCTCTTACAGCCCTTTCTTGAAACTGTGGGTGATTGCAAAAACTTGAAGAGATCAACCACACAGTTTGTTGTTAGCGAGGAGTGAGGACATCAGAAATCTGATCTATTGAGCTGGAACATGAGCAATAATCAAGCTCTTGTTGATGACTTTCTCTTGAACAAAAAATATGTCAAGATCAATGTGCTTGGTTTGAGTGTGAAGTTTAGAATGATGAGATAAGGCCACCATACTCAGGTTGTCATAGTAAATGGTAGGACTTAGATGTGGTAATAGGAACATGAAGTTCATAAAGCAAAGTCGGAATGCATAGAATCTTTGTAGCAGTGCAGGTTAGACTTCTATACTCATATTCTCTGTTGCAACAATCTACCAAGGGCTGTTTCTTCAACCACAAAGAGACCAAATTCCCAAAAGGCAAAAACACAGAAGGACCAGATGTAGAACATTAGTCATCTAGGTCAAATGCCTAGCCAGCATCATAGAATGTTTGAAGAGAGAGGGATTGATATGGTTGAGCAGGCATAAAAGGCCATGAGTGATGGTAGCTTTCAGATAACAAATGATCCTTTTGACTGCTTTCTAGTGATCATCCAGAGGCTGGGACTTAAAATGACACCTTTTTTATATTGAAACTTATATCAGGCCAAGTGATTGTTGCATGTTACAGGGCCCCAACAATAGACCTTTACAAGTGGGGATCATCTATGTTGGCATTGCTATATTTAATGAGTTTACGGCCACTAACCATAGGTGCAAAGAGATCCTTTGCATCATTTGGGCCTTGGCCAATAAGTTCCCAATATATTTCCGTTGCGTAAGTAATAAGGAACCATTAGGTAGATGCTTAACTTCAATTCCCAAAAAGTAGACGAGAGATAAGTAGTTTGAGAGCAAAAACAGAATTAAGCTTGGTCATCAGCTGTTGAATAAGGGAAAGAAATGCCATTGGTGATAATATCATCCACATAGACCAACACTTACAAACAATGAGTGGTGCCCTTTGAAAAGAGAGGTGTCACATTTGCTAAAGAGGAAATCAAAACTATGTAGTGTAGAATTGAGCCTTTCAAACCATGCCCTAGCAGCCTGTTTAATTCCGTAAATAGCTTTTTGTAGCTTGCACACAAAGGACTTATCTAAGGCTACAAATCTTGAGGTTGGGCCATGTAAACTTCCTCTGCAAGAGTTTTATTATTGAATGCTGCCTGAATGGTAGAATACTGAGTTCGAAAACAGGCTTAACAACCTTAGAAAGGGGAGTGGGATGCAGTTACAGTAGGTGTGTGATGATGAGAATGAGATACACTATGTACCCATTGGGTGTCCTAATCTACATTGGCAGGGTAACAAGACAGTTGTTATTACAGATATGATAATCTCACTGACTGCTACTACTTTCACTGAGAGTTACTTCTTAATTACACATGTAGTTTAATGTCTCTGACACATCCCAACAGATAACTTTGTATTTCTATGCTTCTCACACACAATATGAACTGCATGCTACCAATGTGAATGCTTTCGGTGAAGTATTCATCATTTGGTGAAAAGGATCAAAAACACTATACAAGGATGGTGGAGACAGAGGGAGCCGTGAGGATCTCATCAATGAACTAATCAATAAAATGAATTAACTTATGTACTCTAGTATCAAAATTTTGATGTTGTCTGTTATGTACCTTAGAAGATCTGGGTGCAAGAATCTCATTTTCAAAGATACCGATTTTGTTATGGACAAACCGAAACATGTACTTGTCTTTAAGCCCTCATTTATCTTTAATTTTTGTTTTTGTTTTTTTGGTTTTATGGAAGAGAGGAGTCAAGGCCCTCATTTATCTTGTGGGGGTGCATTGTGGAATTCGAGTTGTGCCTCATGTCTTTCGTATCTATTGATTAAGCTACTTTAAGAAGCTTATTTTCCGTTTTGCATTTTTAATGTCAAGAACGGTGTTTGCAGCAATGTTATTGCATTGACCCGGTCGAGGTACTGGGTCACTGGTTCAACCGCATGACCCGGTAATTATATGCAATTTTATAATTTATATTAAAAAATTATAAACATACTCAAATATCTAAAAAAATGATAAAAATTTCGAATGTTTTAATATACAAAATAATAAATTACATATTATTATCCAATAAAAGATCAAACAAAAATATAATGATTGTCATACGGGACTATAGGTTCAGAAAATGACATCGCTAACTATAAATCAAATCAAAATTCTCTGCATAGTGCACGATTGAGATAATATTAGTGTTGTAGGTATATAACTTATGTAAGTCAATAAGCAAAAAAAATTCAAATATGTTCATTATGATTTATTTTTTTTGAAAAAAAAAACAATTTTTTTTTTGGAACGGGCCGGGTCACCGGTTAACCGACCGGGTCACCAATTTTCATGAAAACCGACCGGGTCGCACCGGTTCTAATGCATGGCCGATCTGTTGCTTCAACCGGATCGGTTCTATGACTGGTTTACCAAATCCCGGGTCGGTCTGAGTTTCTTAACAGTGGTTTGGAGTCAGCAATGATATTTTTCAAGGTGGACAGCAAAGTGTTAGTGATTATATGCCAATTATTAATGAAAGACTGAATATATTTAGATGTGTTGTTAAAAGGATTTTTGTTTTATTTTTAAATCTAATTAAGCACTTTAACTTTGTTCTTATAATTAATTAGGAATCTTAATTTAAAAAAATGTTTAAACTATTAATTAATTGGGATAAAAATTAGTTAAATATTATCTTTTCAATAATTTTTATTGATTACTATATTTGAATAGAGTTGAGTGTTTTAATTGGTTATAACAAAAGTTTATTCCCTAAATTTAATGATGAAATTATAAAGAAAATTTGTTGTAGATAACTAAATAATTCCATCAAAGAATAAAATTAGGGGTGGTGAGTTGATAACAATGTTGAGGTGTGGTTATTCACTGGTTAATGATTTTGTTTTAAATTAATTGGTAAAAAATAATTGAATGCTACAATTTTGTTCTTGAGCTTTAATAAATTTTAAGAAAAACTATGTAACAAAAAAAAAGTTTAAGAACAAATTATCGGTGAGATTAAACAATTAGATAACAGTTGTTTATATAATTGTTTTTGTACATTAAAAATGAAATCATTTTAAAATTGCAAAATGACACATGTTTTGATTTTTTAAGTATATATTTCTTTTGTATAAATAATTTGATATTTGCTTTAGTTCTTGTGTGTGAGTTTTATTTTTAACTTCTCTTCTTTTTATATATAAAAATTTGAGGAAGGTTATACTTACATCTTTTTTTTACTACCTCTTACAACCATATCTTAACCTCTTACAACCATATCTTAACACCGATGATTTTCGCCAATCAACGGTTATTATTTTCGCAAATTAAACTCATTATTTAATTATTAATTCACAATAAATGATAACCGTTAATTGACATAAATCAACGGTGTTAAGATATGGTTGTAAAAAAAAAGATTGTAAGTATAACCTTCCTCTAAAAATTTAGTCAAACATAATTTTTTAAAAATTCTTATCATGAAAAGTTTTTTTTTTTTTTTTAATAATGAACATAAAAAAATCTATATTTTAGAATATATCTTTTAACAAAGAAGAGAATTAACCAACAAAGCCCAACACAGTTGGTAAATAGCTGGGTTCCTTAAGCATGCTGACAGGAGTTCGATTCCTGGCCGTGTGTATGGAGAAGGCTTTGTTGGGAGAGGTTTACCCAATTAGGCTGCGCATGACAATCATTCTGATTCAGAAATAATTCTTTTCTATTTCTGTGCCTTGGAACAATTCTGAGAATCAGAATTACGTTTAATAACACAATAAAAATCTATTTTTTTTATAATAAAAAATTTATTTCTTTACTTTTGTTTATAGATTTCATGAATTGTATAAAATAGCAAATGACAATAGATTTTAACCGAAATGCCAAATTTTATATTTAAAAAAATTATATAAAAATTTATAATATTTTATTATATAGTTTTATGTTTTTTACGACAAATGCTACTATATAGTTTTAACTATTATTTTTCAATCATCTTCACAATTCATATTTTTTTGTTTCTCATTCCCTTTACCATTTTATTTTTTAATATCATATTATTACCTTAATATTAATGCCTCGTCTACATTTTTTTTTATGGGCTGCGCGGGTATTTTCCGGCGGCTCCGGGGAGGATGTCGGCGATCTACACCAACGCCGTGCTGGATCGGAGCAAGAAAACCGGGGGCGAAAAACCCAGCAAGACCCATGTTTTCGTGCATGATTTCAGGAGAGAGGTGGAGAGGATTTTCAGCAATGAGTTTCTGTGCCAAGAGAATTTGGTCCA